TTGGATAATGCGCTTAATACTTTTGTAAAATTACTTCTCAGTATACCACAAAGTGATTTATTGGTATGCATTAGTTGATTCTTGTTATATTTATTGATACATAAATATAATGTTTTTATAGCTTAATATTGTTTTTCATAGGATTATCCGAAGTTATCTACAACATACTTTGTGTTACTCGAATGTTTGGCACAAGATCATATGGTGTTTCTTTCCACCTTGGAACCCAGAGTTTTCTTGTACATTTTATCAAGCATCAGTGAAGGCCTTACAGCACTAGGTGCGCAAAAAGACTCCTACACAGGTCTGTGCGGCTGATTCTATTTTACTATCATTCTCTTATCCTCTATGCCATGCCATGGGGTTATAAGTCCCAAATCACTTAGATCAATACTTTTTTTCTACGAAAGTGTTTCTCAAATATTTCTGAATGACTGTAATTAAAGTATAGAAACCTTAATTACAATGAAACACATGATTTAATAATGACTTTAACATTCCTTGAAACATTTTTACTCAAATTTTATGAAATTTTATTTACCAAAAATACGTAAATGTATCTCGTATTATGCATGTATCGATTCTTATTGGAGAACTTTATTATAATTTTATAATCACTGATAAAGTATGGAAGAAACCAGATAAAGGATTAGTTATTGAGGATGTTTAATTTTGTTTATGTTTATTTGCTTTTTGCATTGTTGCTTGGAATGTAAACTTGCATTTAGGTATACTAGTTACTGCTATAGTTTGAAAAGTACCAGAACAAACATGTATGCTGAGTAATTTTTATGCATATAAAGAGAATGATTGAATCATTAAAATAATATAGGCAATGAGAGGATTGGAGTTTGTAGAATCTAGACCCTAATTGCTACTATTTTACTGCTTTTTAAAAATTTTTATTCGTATTTTTAGTACAATATCGTATTAAACGATTCATAAATTTTGTATTCCTTTAAAATTAAATTACATAGTGGGTCTAGCACACATAGTCAGCCGCACAGCTGGCATGCTACTAAAATATATTACTATTCATAATTATATGTTCTTAAGTTACTAATTTACTAATCATTATGTGTTGTTTTTATGTTTTATGCTTTTCTTTCTGAATTACTTTTTCATTTATTTTACTAATTAATAATAATAAAAAAATTTTAATTTTTTATGATTTAACTAATCTTCTGAAAAATTAAGCAACATATGAAATGAATAAATAATTTTGCAGAACACACATTTTCTGCAAGGTAGGTCATTATATTAAGTTTCACAATATAGCTGGTCATGTTCATCTGTGTTTTTGTTGTCTTTTTTCAGTTACACTTGTTTAATAGTATATAATGTAAAATGAAAATAACAAAACTTTATTGCAGATACAACGGTCTGTACTGGTTGCTGTGCAACACTTGATCATATTGTGACTTACTTGTTTAAACAACTATATCAGAAAGGTATCATCTATTTAATAGTAATTATTTCATGTATGCACATTAGTGAGTATTTGAATACAACATGTACCCTTTTTATCAGGGGGATATCCAGGAAGGAAAAATACTGTTGTTCCTGGAGGTGGAGACTTATTCCTACAAGTTTTAAAACAACACCCTGAAATTCTCCAGCAAATGTTAAGTACTGTTTTAAATGTGATAATGTTTGAAGATTGTAGAAATCAATGGAGTATGTCACGTCCTCTTTTGGGATTAATTCTTTTAAATGAAGAAGTAAGTGTAAAAAATCTCTTATTTTATTCTTTAGAAATTGAAAAAACATTTTATAATTTTACATTTAATTATTTATCGTTACAGTATTTTAATCAGTTACGAGAAAATATTATTAGAAGTCAACCAGTTGATAAGCAAGCAACAATGGCTCAGTGGTTTGAAAATTTAATGGAAGGGATTGAAAGAAACTTACTCACAAAAAATAGAGATAGGTAAGAAAAAACGAGTAGCAAATGCATATGATTATGTATTTTTATATGATTTTATACATATTGTTTCTTTCAGGTTTACACAAAATTTATCATTGTTTAGAAGAGATATAAATGATACCTTAAAAGGACCTAACACAACTGCAAATCCTATCGGTGATATGATGACCTTAACCTTCAATTAGATTCTCCTAGGTTCTTGCCTGCCAAATGCTTGAATATGTGTGCGAGTGAAACTATAAATTATGGTGGATTTAAAATTATGATTTTAGATGAGTATAAAGATAATAAATTAAGCACTGTTGTTTTACAGAAGCATTATTGTTTGGCTTCCTATTCTTTTGTAACTTTAATATTTTCTCTTAAATTTTCTTTTTATATCATATAGGTATCTCAAAATTTGTATGTACTTCGTCCCAAATTTACAGACAGGAAAGACCAGATCCTTTTTATTACCTTTATACTCCTGCCATTTTGATTTAATACAATATTAGAACATAAATATTCTTGCACATATATTAAGTACAAAGAGTGATTGGCAATAAATATATTAAATTTCATAAATCGACACAATGCATATCGAATAATTTTATATGGGTAAATTGATCGATTTTATTTTAGTTGCCTTTTGCAAGCATTTAAAATATTATAAATTTA